GGCAAAATTGAAAAAATATCTGAAAGTGATTTTTTCTTTACATATATCATTTAAATAACAATAATTATCTTTAAAACTTCATTAAATGCCGTTTTATTGTTAAAAAAACATTTTTACAACATTAAAATTTTTGGCCGCTAGGCCGCCAGGCCGCTAGGCGCCAACTTCACGCCGCTAGGCCGCCAGGCCGCTGGGCCGCCAACTTCACGCCGCTGGGCCGCCAGGCCGCTAGGCCGCCAACTTCATGCCGCCAGGCCGCTAGGCCGCCAACTTCACGCCGCCAGGCCGCTAGGCCGCTAGGCCGCCAACTTCACACATCTGATATAAATATAGATTTTAAAAAATTGAATCATAAGAAAAGCTTGATAATAGTTTGGGAATTTTGCACATAATCCATATATGACGGGTTTGCATCGTACATAATAAAGTCATTGATTTAGACGAGGCGTGTCGCTTTAACGCACTCAAAGGCTATTTTCAAAGGGCGTGACTGTTTTTAGCCGCTAGCCACTCCTATGACCTTATGTTTATTCGGCAATTTTCGTCTCTTTCCGTTCCTTAAAGGCACATTATGCCTCAAAAATCCATTTTTGTATTTTTTAAGAAATGTCAAACATGTGTCAAATAATGTTCATGTAATTGATTAAGTGCATGTTAGATGTTTTACAACTGAAAAAAGTAGCGCTGAATATGCAGTAATGTGTAGAAAAGGTGGCAAAGTGTAAACAAAGTAGTATTTTGGCCTTAATACAAAATAATACTTCACTTTAATTATACCCATTGCCAACAGAACTAAAGATGCATGTATAAAGCAACTGATAATGTTTTTAGAAACTATAAAAGCATACCAAAAATAAAAGTTTTTTTGAGAAATAAAAATGATAGAATTTCTGAGGCATAATGGGCCTTTAAATACTATATTTAGAAAAGCAGTGATTTTGCAAGATTTGATGCCGCTTCTGTTGTAAGCACATAAATACACGGAAAGTGGCGGAATATGCGAAATTCAGCGAGCTGCATGATACCTGAAGGCAATGGCCGATGTGTTATCTCTAAGTCTAAGTCAACAACAAAATGATTAAATAATTTATTTTTGAAATGAGTGGATAGGACATTTAAAGTGGCCGTATCAACTGATAAACGCTTTCAGTCAACTTGTTTGTAATCGCAAGGTCGTATGTGTTTTATCGCTGTTTACTTACTTGGCAAAAAGGAGCGTTTCTGTTCGAGTTTTTTTTGTAAACGTGGCAGCCTTGTTTCCTTATGTTTTAGTATTAATTAACCCAGGCATTTTACGAAAATAAAAAGATTTTATATAAGAACACAGTCCACAGTCGAACTTAACCAAAAACACACCGTATTACCGGCGGCAGTGATGGCAGATCACTGCAGTGATGGCAGATATCTGAAAATTACCGATCGATACAGGTAGGTTATAAATTTGGTTGGTTTAATTATATTACACAAATACGGCACATATCATTGCTATAAAACTATTGTCCATTGAATGGAGATACTGTAAGGTAATTTTGGACTCGTTTTTTCCTGTTTTAAGACTATTTTGAGCAGGTTTAAAAGTGAAAGCCTTAGAAAAATCCGTGAAAATGTCTGTTTTCTGTTCAAAATATCTCAAGTTTTAAGTAAATGGCAGGATTTCCTGTTATCAATATAGACGTTCATCCATTGGGGTCACGCAAGCCAAATATCTACCCCGTGAGTCTTTTTTTGAAAGTTTTACAGACGCTCAATCTTGTCCGGTCGAAGAAAAAATGCTGCCGTTGTAGGCAGATACGTATTATAAATGCTGCCGTCGATGGCAGAAATACCATGAAAGTTGCTAACATTCTGACAGAAAATCAAGTTCAATTTGTTATCAATTCCTCTTTTCTTTGCGTCCTTTTAGTCAGAATTGAGACGTTAAACTGTCATTTCTAATATTTTCTCAAGATAGAAAAAGTTAATAACCCATTACCCCATGAGCATCTTGTGAAAAAATGGCTGTTTTCATTGAAAGGTCTCCCGTTACAAGTTCAAGTTCCTATAAAAACTATAAAAACTGCTTCAATACTAATCAAACTTGGCACAAAATGTTAACTGGACCATTGCCTTTGTAAAAACATGTTCAGTCTGAAATTTCCTGTTACCATAGCAACTAAGGGACATGTCAAAATTGCCAAAAAAACACTATTTTGCGTAGATTTTTTTCCATCAAAATTGATTTCAAAGTGCTGCCACTTCTCAATGGATTGAGATAGAGTCAAAGGCTTTTTCAGCATTGGTTTACACGTTACCTTATGATCGACCTGGGGCCATTTATAGCCTCCCACAAGTCCAAAGTTTTATTGGCGATGAGGGGGACTCAGCCCCCCCTTCAAACCCCCCAAACATAAGGGGGCACATCCCCCTTCTGGAAACCCCCTGATGTATCTTTTGGAATGGGGACGGGGGGGGGCGCCGAAAAAGTGGTCAATTTTTTTAAACAACATTTATCAAACAAAAACAAGTGTTTGGGGGCCTAAATAAGGCATTTTTTCACCATTTGAGAAAGCAAAAAAGGAGGGGGGGGGGGGTGAAAAAGGCGTAGAAAAGGCGTATATATATCTGGTCATGGGTTTACAGAAAATGATGAAAAAAAACGAAATTACCCTAAAACGCGTTTTTCCATGTTTAAACATGGCCTCACATATAATTTTGAAGAAAAATTGCTGTTTTGTAGATTTTTTTATTTTTTTCATTAATGCGGTATGTGCATGGAAAAAAAAGCTTATTAGCAACATGCAGTTACAATACAAAAAAGTTATGAATTAGTACCACAAAATTTCACTATAAATAGAGAAATGAACATGAAAAACTTCATTTTTCTATATTCATGCATGTGTGCTTGATCTGTTGTGTCTGTCAGTTACATGCATACAATACTATATGTATCTTAAGTTTAGCAGCGCAATCCCTTTTTAAGACATAACGCCAATTGCATATTACAGCAAGTAACTTCTGTAAGTGGATATTCATTTGCTAGCATATGACATTATTTTCTCGAGGTAATAATGTTCATCGCTTTATGACAAATAAAGGCTGAAATTTACTTTAATCGGCGCAGATTATAAATTATTAAATTGATTTAATAAAGGGGAGACTATTAAACCTCGCAACTGGCATCAGTGTATCATAAAAGAATGTATGTTAATGTAAAATTGAAAGATAATATTATTGACAGTTCAAATATTTTCCTATATTATCAAGTTCTTGAAAAACACGACAACGTGGATTCATTTCTTTAAATTTTCATGTTTGTAATAGCGTTGTAGTTTGCCTTTGAATTACATTTACTATGCTAAACTATTAACAACTGTTCTAACATCACGTGCTCCCATTTAACTATATATTTTTTCATTCATTTTAGTTTGTAACCATGACAACTTACAATGATGAACCTTTCGATGATTCATATCACAATATGAAAATAAATCCTGTATTTATAGGGAAAAAAAAAATAGAATTTTTTGATTTGTTATATTCTTTTTCTCTTTTTTGACCTTTAAATTCATATGAACAGATCAAGCACACATGCATGAATATAGAAAAATGAAGTTTTTCATGTTCATTTCTCTATTTATAGTCAAATTTTGTCGTACTAAATAATCACTTTTTGTATTGTAACTGCATGTTGCTAAAAAGCTTTTTTCGATGCACACACCGCATTAATAACTTTTCTATCTTGAGAAAATATTAGAAATGACAGTTTAACGTCTCAATTCCCGACTAAAAGGACGCAAAGAAAAGAGGAATTGATAACAAATTGAACTTGATTTTCTGTCAGAATGTTAGCCACTTTCGTGGTATTTCTGCCATCGACGGCAGCATTTATAATATGTATCTGCCTACAACGGCAGCATTTTTTCTTCGACCGGACAAGATTGAGCGTCTGTAAAACTTTCAAGAAAAGACTCACGGGGTAGATATTTGACTTGCGTGACCCCAATGGATGAACGTCTATATTGATAACAGGAAATCCTGCCATTTACTTAAAACTTGAGATATTTTGAACAGAAAACAGACATTTTCACGGATTTTTTCCAAGGCTTTCACTTTTAACCTGCTCAAAATAGTCTTAAAACAGGAAAAAACGAGTCCAAAATTCCCTTACAGTATCTCCATTCAATGGACAATAGTTTTATAGCAATGATATGTGCCGTATTTGTGTAATATGATTAAACCAACCAAATTTAAAACCTACCTGTACCGATCGGTAATTTTCAGATATCTGCCATCACTGCAGTGATCTGCCATCACTGTCGCCGGTAATACGGTGTGAAAAAGGGATGCATTTCAATATTCAATATTATTAAACCTAGCAATTGAGATGTATGCGATTTAACACAGGGATAGTGAGTGTGATCCTAAGAAAATCATGTTTCTTCAGTACAACAATACTAGTGAATCCTATTGGTGAACTGGAAAATGATATAACTTTATTTAAAGCAGAGCTAAAATAAATCAGTTCATTATATACTTATATTGAGTCATGACAAAGTTCGTAAATAGATACACGAATTAAAATGATTATGTTGTTGTTAATATTGTCGAAAAAATTTCGCAATTATAAGAGGTTTGATTAAATTCATGGTTTGCATCTTGATAATCACGTTTGGGTGACTAAATAATAATATATACGTCACTTAATTACTCACATAAAAAACTTTGAAATTTTGCAACGTACAAGATAATTTAGAATGAATACAAAGTTCAAAGTCATGCACTTCTGTTATGTTTTTAATTCAAGAAATAATCATCAAAGGCCAGTGTTATTCATTTTTATGATTTGTAATATTTACGGCGACATTCACAGCTTTAGATAATGTTGATGTTTTATTAATTACTTTTATATGTATAATAACAAACACTTTTCCTGTAAAATAACTAATAAAGAATTCATCACCATATGTTTTACAGTTATATTATTATACTAATAAATACATAATATCAATTTTTCACTGCAGCTCGGGGGTTTGGCCATATTTGTCGTTGGGTTTATTTTGCGGTATGGTAAAACAATATACGAACCATTCTTGAAGACGGGAATAGATGAACTGGAAAAGGTTACCAAGGATACGGGACTAGCTGCCCTTAGTGTGGACGACATCAACCTAGGCGAGGTCAATATTGTACAGCTTTATTTACAGAGTTATTGCCCCTGTTTGAAAAACAGATCTATAACTTTCCTTAAAACATGTCCGTATTTAAAATGATATAAGAAATAAGCGGTGCATTGTTGTAGATAAAATAAAGTATGGCACATCGCCATGTCGTAGTGGCCTTATAAAAAACAACCGAACAGTTCAAAAGATATTTTAGATAGTAAGCTATCTGGGGTTTTTATTGTTCTTTCAGGTGATGACGGGATTGGCTACGGGTCTAATCATTGGCGGAGTGACACTTTTTGTTTTCTCGTTTGTAGGATGTTGCGGTGCTTGTTGTAAAAGTGGGCTTTTATGCTGTGGCTGGTAAGATATAGGGATGGCAATTTATTTTTTTTCTTCAATCATATCTATATTAACTACAAGTAGCACATGACTTGCTTCTAAGTTGGTTTTCATTTTAGGAGATCATGGGTTCGGAGTGCGTTCAAAATGAAACCGAGGAGAAAAGATACATGTGCAAGTATTCCCCACTGTTAAGCTAAATCTAGGAAAAGTGATGCTAGTGTAATATATTTTTGTATAAAATTAAGTTTCGGAAGTGACATTAGTTTTAAACTCTTTTTTTTTTAATGCAAATTGCAAAAATGACTTACACATAGCAATAGTATAATCATGCCAATTGACACGCCCGTACAGTAGGTCAAGACTCAATGCTTCGGTTACTGGAACCCCTGAAACAATGGGTGTTGAAGGACAAGTCCGTAATTCAAATGTATCAGTAACAAAATTGCGTTCGAAAAAAAAATTAAAATGGGTCATATGTTCACGTGATTCGAATTAAACTAATTAATAACATTTTATATATATCGTTTTTCCCCTTGTCTGTCGAAGCGTTTCGTGATTTTTTAAAGAATATAGATTTTTTCATCCTTGCTTTGTTTAAATTTTAATAACTGGACCCTTTGTCATCGAATATCAGATTATAAATTGACTTGCACCATTACTCTGCTGAATTTGCAATCGCAACTTTTCGGCTATTTCCGTAAAACTTGGATAAAATAAATTGTATTTGGGCGGTTTCCCCAATGCTGAATTGTTTAATTTCAATATCGAAGTACTGAAAATTTAAAAACAACAAATCTTACTGGCCTTTGGGGTTTTTTGAAGTAAATGGGACCAATAGTTTTTTAGATTTTTTTTTGGGCCATTTATTTTATCTATTTTTCCAAAACAACAAATTTTTAAAAAATGCCGGAAAATTAACTGGGCTAGAAAGCCCAATATCTTTTTTCCCACGTTGAAATTTTTTCTCGCTTTCAATTTTTTTCCTTTAAAAAATTTACACATATTTTTGTGTTTAAAATTTTACATTCTACAAGCAAAGGGGTTGGCTTTTTCGTGTAACATAACTTTTGACTTTTCTTACAAAAAAGGGACTGTTAAAAATTACATTGAAAAGAAATTGGGACACAATATTTTAAACATTTCGAAAAAAGTGATTATATTAAGTAAGGTGTTTAAAAACAATAACCCAAATTGTTTTTTAAAATTTTATCAGCTGCTGTTTTCAGATACTGTATCTTTTGAACTAATTCAAAAATTTGCTTTTTCATTGATAAATTATAGATAAAATAAATTTAAACCCATATTCATTTTTTACGGGGCCCGTTTTGAAAAGGGGTAAGGGGGGCTGGGGGGAGGGGGTTTTCTTTAATGATAATAAAAAAAAAAAATGGGGGGCGAGTAGGTTTTTAAATTTAAAAAGGGGTTTTTAATGTGAATTTTAAAACTGATTTTTTTTTTCTGTTGCCTAGGTAAGGGGGACCAGCAAAGGGAATTTTTTGGGTCAGAATATGAAGGGTATTGCGTCAGCGCAAGTATACTCACTGGCAGGGAAAACATTTTTTAATGATCCAGGAAAATAATTTATGCCATACAACACTGAAAGTTTTTTTGGATTGAAAACGGTGTATATTCTTTAGTCAGAGTTCAGTTTTTTCATTTTAGCTTCAATTTTCCATTTGGGAAAAAAAAGTTGTAAATCTGATCAAAACTTGTTTTTTAAAAATTTAAATATTTTAGCAGTCTTAAAAAAAAGGAAAGAATGTTTTAAAACAAAAAAAGTCCCATTCTTTAAAAGGGTATTGACCCATAAAAAGAATATGAAAGGAAAAAGGGCCTGTGTATGACTTTTTTTTTAAATTTTAAAAATGTTGCGGTTTGACAACTAAAAGTTTTTTTAGGGGAGTCAACCTCGTGGAAAAAAAACATTCAGTTAAAGGCCCGGGATTTTTTAACACTGGAAACACCAGTACCCTTGTTGAAAAAACTTTGCCTTCACCCAAAGATGCCAATCATTTTCAATGTGCCATAAAATACGTTTAGTTTAACAAAATTTACTGGTATGAGGGTAAGTGACTCCTCCGTGTTCAGTTTCCGGCCGGTTACAAAGTTTTCATTTGAAGAAAGCTTAATATTGAAACATTTATTAAAAAGTCCCTTTGTACATAAAAGGGTTTTCTAACATGTACATTCTTTTTTTCCTTTTTAAAAAAATTCTTTCCCTTTTGTTTTCTTTGCCAGTAGCCAAAAAATGAAAATTTTACAGATTATTTTAAAAAAAGCCTATAAAGAATTTTTTCAGTGATTTTTCCCGTTTAATTTGGGAAATTTTAAATTTTTTTGGAACAATTTTCGCTACAGTTGCTTTTTTTGGGAAGTAAAAAAGGCTGTTTTAATTTTAAAATTTTTGGGGAAAACTGCATGATTGGAAGAAAATTTCCTTTTGAATGATGCTTGGAGTAAGGACGTATTGATAATTTATTTATTTGACAGGACCTAACCCTTGAAAAGCAATATTCTTAAAAAGGCCCAAACCAAAAATTTACCACAAAGCATTGTTTCCTTTTGTTTTTGTTGTTTTGGGTTTTTTTTCGTTCTTTTTTAATTTTTTTTTTTTAAAATCGGTCAAAAAAATTTTTTTTACTGTCAAAAAACAACTAAAAAACATAAAATGTTATTTTCATATTTCTAATCTTTGATGAAAAAAAAGTTGGATTTTTCAAAAAAAAAATTTTGCATATAAAAATAAAAAGTGGGGGTTTATGTAAAAAATTCCTTTTTTATAGACAAAAACAATTTTATTAATTCAAATTTTCTTACGACCACCACAAAACTCTGACCGCTTTTGTTGTTTTTTGATATCTCATTAATTAAAAAAATTTGGGTCGGAAAACGTTTTTTTCTTCTAGGGGACTTTGTCTTTTTTTATGGGCCTTTGATGGGAAATAATTACTTTTGAAATTAATTTTAGAAAAAATGTCTTTAACTTATGTAGCGACAAAAAATCAAGCGTTTTCTTTTGGGTTTTTTTATAGACTAAAAATCTAGGTACTTTTACCAAAAATTTGAAAAATAAACTTTTTTACAAACCCTACAACATATTTTATTTTCCCACAGTTCGTCTTTGGGACTCTTGGGAAATGCTTTAAATTAACTGGCCCCTTTACGGGTTCAGAAAAAGTCCCGGGTTTACTCATTTTCCTGTCCAATTTTTTTCAGGAAAATTTAAAAAAAGGGAGGGTTTTTCTAAAATAGGGGAAAATTTCAACTTTTAATTAACATATACACATTTAAAAAAAAACATTAATTGCTATGTTTAAAAAATTTTTGTTTTAAAAAAAAAATGAATTTTTAAAATTTTTTTTAAGGCCCAAAAGTTTTGGTTTTTTATCTATGAGTGTTTGTTTTTCCCAGGGTTGTTATAAGACGAATAGGGGATTGTCTATGGCTAACCCCCAGCATTAATGGCCCCGTTTCCTTACTGCCCTTAGCTATTTTTCCGGGGTAAGCAAATACCTACATACTGCCATTGTTAGCTATTTTCCGGGAAAGGGAAAAACCCATACCCCTTTGTTATTTTTCCCGGGGTTTAAGTTAATTTTAAACCAGGGGTTTTAAAAGAAGAAAAAAAAACCATTTTGGGGCTATTTTTTTAGGAAAAAGAAAAAAATTACATAAAAAACAAATTTTTTTAAAGGTTATTTTCCAGGTAAGCAAATCATTTTTTAACCCAACTGGTAACGGTTTTTAGTTTATTTTTCCAAAGGGAAAAGAAAACGCCCAGTAGTTTATTTTTCTTGGGGAAAAGAAAAAACACATACATACTTTTTCTTGGGTTTTTTAAGGGTTTAAGAAAAAAACCCTTTAATTACCCTTTTTTGTAGGTAAAAAAAAACCTAAAAGGCTCCTGCCTTAGCAAAATTTCCCAAAGGTAAGAAAACATTAAAACATTTTATACTGACTATGTTCAGTATTTCTAAAACAAAAAACCTTCCCATTTTTATTTGGGAGCTTTTTTAAAATCATTTGACAATTTTTTCACTACGTTTCAACTATTTTTGATATTTTCTGAATTAGGACTGTTTTAAACCCGTGTCCATATCTTATTTTGGCTATTCTCCAAGGAAAATTTTAAACGCATTTGTATGGGGGTCTTCGGGGCCATTTAATTTTAAATTACTTATCACAAAAGGGGGTTGAGGGGGGAAAGTTTATCAGGGAAACTGCGTATTTTTAATGCAGAGACTTTTCAATTAAAAAATTGTTTTTTTAAAATTTAAAATAGATTTTTTTACAGGGCACTAAGACTTTTGAACCTTACGAGTTTAAAAAAGTATAAAAGGAAAAATTTAAAGTTAACTGGACTAGTGCCAGATAAAAAAAAAAAAAGGGACATTATGCCTCAAAAAACAAATCCCTTTTTGGTTTTTTAAAGAAAAAGCAAACTTTGAATTTTTTTGATGTTTAATTAATTTTTTTTAAAAAAATAAAAGATGCTTGTTACCTAAAAAAGTAGCATTAAATGTGGAAAATTTTCATAAAAGTAGAAAAATATAAACAAAGAAATTATTTTTACTTCCATACAAAAAAAACTTATTCACTATGAACTGTTCTTTTTTCCCAAGAAGCAACAAATTCATTTAATTGGAAATTAAAGAAACCTTTTGGATACTAAAAAAAGTACCCCAAAATTTAAAAAAAAGCTTTTTGAGAAAAAAAAAATAAAATCATTTCTGGGCATAATGGGCCTTTTAATTTTTACCACGTTTTTTTTTTTTTTTTTTTTTTTTTTTACTTTTCTTTTTAAAGTGCCCATTTTGAAATCTATTGAAAAATTATTGCCCTAGGGGGCATAATTTTTAAAATAATTAATAAAATAAATAATAATAAATAAAAATTTAATAATAATAATAAAAATAAAAAAATATACTTTATTAATTTTTCTAATGTTTTTTAAACATAAATGCCGTTTTTTTCCACTTTTGTGTTTTAATATAAAAATTTAAATTTTGTAAGGAAAA